ATCACAAAAACGTAACTCAAATTTATACTGATATAGAAAAAAAAAAGTCCAAACTTTATTCTGAAATTTATATTAATAAACGTAAACATAATTTCTCATATTAAACATTTTTCTACTGCTTTCTCCTTCCTCCATTTTTTTCCTGCTCTACTGGTTCTTTTTTAGAAAGAAAAACACAAAAAAGTGTCGTCAAGACCACAAAATCGAACTCCCAAAATGATTGAGTTTCAATTACAGCATGAAGCTGCTGTACAAGAGAGCTGATGTAGGCTGGAATGCAAACTCGAGGAGTTAAAGAAAATGTTGCGAAGAATGAGCTCTGCTATTTTTCTCTCTATTTGCGTCAACGTCGCTGATCAACTATGAGACTGAGCATTTGATCTCTTGTTTCCAACGATGGAACCAAAATCACTCAAACTGTTACTGCATCCGCTTCGTCAAACGGGAGTATTCAGTTGACTTGCTTTGATAAGGCTTCCTCGAACTCTGTTTCTTCAACCATTGGTTGTCTTTCATCTTCCACAAGAAATGAAAGTGCATTCCATGTGTTTGAGAAAGCTCTGCATATCATGCTTTTGGCACTGCTCCTAGTCAGCTACGTAATAACATTGTGTGCTCGACAAATTTAGTTCTTGCAATAAGATGGCTCTGCAATCTCTTGTTACATCCTTTTGAAACATACAGATATCTGCTCAACTCTTAAAAGTGTTGGGAGATTGACAGAAGAAATGTTAGGACTACGGCTTTTTTTTCTTTTTCTAAATATGTATCAGACAAACATATAATCTTTTTTTCTACCGCATTATTGTATTTAATATAGGTTAATGATCAATTAGAAAATTTCACATGTCAAAATCCGTTTGAGGTTTGTTCTAAACCTTGAATATTTATGATTTTTGTTTTCATAAATGCGTGGTATTTTAATCTGGCTCAGCTTAAGTCTAAGGCATTACAATTAAGCTTTTTCAACATATGATTGGCGCAAATGGGCACTTCGGAGTCTATCTTTAACCCAGTCCAGGCTTAGAAAGAACACACCCAAAAGAACAAAAAGATGAAATGAATTATGGGTTCCCATTAATTGACGATGATCTTAAACACTTTGTTAAGGTCATGTCATGTGAATCATGACCAAGTCTAATCTGTACAAATAATTGCAGTCGGATAAGCATAACAAAAACTTGCTTACCTTCCAAGATATCTTAAGCTTCTGAAATATTTCTTTTTAGGGAACCATCTTCATCTATTTTGGCTATTGCTCAACACTCGGAAAACCACTTACAATACCATCAGACATTCAAGCGACAGCTCTTGCAAACCTACCATTAGCAGATTATAGGACAAAATGTAGCTGAAGGAAGCAATCATTTCGCATAGGCAATATTAAGAGCAAATTACCTCAAAATTGCAGAAAATGCTTTGCTTCCAGAAGCTTTGCCAGGGTATTCAACGAAGTTCTCCAACTTCAACCAGGGTAGAACTAATTTCTAATTCTAGCCTCTGTTCTAACAATGGACATACATCCCTTCTATACTGTCAGAACCTTGTCACATTTACCTAAGTGAATAACCCTCGTCCAATAGAAACTGCCTCTCAGGAAAACATACAAAAATTGCATACTACAAATGACAAGTTGGCTAGCGCCACTCCCGGCAACGACCACAGCTCCAGCTTCCTTGGGAAGATACTGACTCCTCCCATGGAGAACAGTGACTGTGCATCACAAACCCACAAATCTGGCAAGAGAGATCAGAAGCTGGTTCCATGTGTAAGCATATCTGACACTGAACAAGATTTGCATTGGACTTCTCAGACACTGTTGACTCTTGCTGATTACAATTACCAGTTCCAGATTGTTCCATGACCCCATGGGAAATTGAACAAGATTGATGTTCAATATTTCCCAATGCATCCCCAGACACATCAACTCCACCACACTGGTCACCATCATCAGGAGCCAACAACTCTGTGAAAGAGAAGTAAGTCTGAGGTTCAAACTCCATGTCCTCGTAGTTAAGACTTTCATAGTCAAACATCATATCACTTTCAAGGCCAGTACTAGAAACATCCCATTCGGCAATGGAAAATGGTTGCGCTTTAGATTGCACAAGATCGTCTGTTTCATTACAATTAGATCGTTCAAAATGCAAAAGATTACTCCCGGAAAGGCTATCCACATTGCCTTCACGTTTCACATGCCTTCTAACTGGCAGTTTCTTCAGCCCTGGACCCGAATCAGCATTCCACTCAGAATCCAAATTGTTCTCTGTAACTTGCTCAGCTTTTGAGAGAGAGAAAAGGAGTGGATCATCATCTGGAACAAATACATCCTCTGATGGACAGACTGGAGATACGGGTTTTGACTCTTTAGGTTCAGACATGTTTCTACTATCGAAAATCACTCTAATGTTTCCTTGCCCTTGTTTTTGAGCCCTCATGCACCGCTTTCTTCGCTTTTGCTCCCTGAGTTCAGCATCCATGTAAGGACACTCTGGTGGGCCTATTCTACGACACTTGCAGCACTTGAAACCTATCACATCCAAAATTCTGGAGTCCTCAAGTTCAACTGCTTCAGCATGGTACCACTCTAGAAACAACCAGAAATACAAGAGTGCATTTTAGTTATTTAGAATTTTTTAAGGAAGAAAAAATAGATAGTTGAGAGCACACTTACTATTGCACATTTCACAATGAATGTATGTCAAGGTAGAATTATATGGCTGTAGGCACAGATCACAAACAGGCTCCAAAAGATGCTTGTCTGAACTACCCTTTAGAAGAATGTTTGCCTGCCTGAAAGCAATGCCTGAGTCTTCATTGTTCTTTTCCTCCATATGACACCCCAAGAACAAAGCTTACGTCGACTTTTTGTCCCCAGGCTAGGGTCAGAGGTCGATTGTTTAATTTCAGAATGATTCACTTTAGCTCCTACAGATGCTAATGGCTGATTAAAACCTTTAAGCTGTGTGCCTTTGCTGCCTGTAATAATACTGCTATGCTCTTGTCTGCTCAGCGGCAACGGAGTGTTTGGATACTTATTCCTTATTTCCCTTTGTGAATTAGCTTTGACAAGGTAACAACGCTTGCAGGTGATGAAGAGCTCCACTTTGCCATTTGTGCATATTGAACTTGAAGTACAGTCCTTGTGACAATAACCTGATGAAAAACAAACAAGAAAAGATGATTAAAGAATATTCAGAATAATCTCAAACTGCCACAGAAATGATGCAAGATGGTATTGCAAGTGACACATAAGAGCACATTATGATGATATACTTATCAATTTGCAACCTATCATAATAAAATTGATGATTTCAGCAATCAACTCTTCAGAAGTATCATGAAAAAGCCTAACTGGTGAATTTATAGAACCCTTTACGAAGAGATAGAATTTACAAGTTAGGCAAGATGTCAATGATGTAGATCCTCCACCGTGTTGAGTGGATAGCCCTTAAAAACAAAAAAAATCAAGGGTCTGTGACCAAACATCCTGGACTCAGCACAATCTATTATTGCTAGAACGGAATATACATTTTTACCACAAGATAGAAAGATAAAACACTACCCCCAAGTAGGTCAGTTCTCATAACTGAACAACTTCCACATCTGAGGAACGAGAGAGACAGCTAAACTCCTCTATGGTAGGTAACTTCTCATATCTGAACAACTCCTCCATGCCTGCTAGACTCTATCCTAACTGAATCTTCCATCTCACAGGTCTGCTGATCTGCAGACGCTATTTTTTCTAAAAATATATTTTAATATATTATAGCCCATAAGATCACTCTCCCCCTCAAAAATGACCTTGTCCTTGAGCGCAAAAGATGGGCTGAGGGATAAACCATGTCCAAGTATACTGTTAATATGAATATTTTGTTGCCTAAATGACGGTGATATTTTTTTCTATTTAGTTCTACCATTTATTTCCTCCATAAGGATGTAATTATTTAAAATCTTTATTATAAGAGAAATTTGCCTCTTTGTAATTAGAAAATCTTGTATATATACGAATCAATTGTAACACCTAAAGTAGAGAAAAATAAAATGCAAATATTTTTCTCAAATTTCTATATGGTATCAGAGCAAAATAAAGGGATTTTAAGGTTTTAATTTCAGAGTTTATTCCAAAATCCTAGAATCTTCACAACACCCACCCAAACGGAGTATTGATCTCACTGGTGGCCGGCTGCCCTATTCCGGTGACTTTCTCCACCATACCCGACTGCCTACTCCGCTCACGTGCGGTTGTTTATGCTGTCCTTCATGCGCAGCCTCCCGGTTCGCGACATTCTTCTTCTTCACAGCTAAGTGGATTGGTAGATATTTTGTCTTTAGATCTTATTTTGTAAAAAGGGTTGGCACACCTTTCATGCCTGGTATGAATGTATTATCAAGCTCAAATAAAAATGGACATCCACAAATTGAAAGTTCAGCACATAAATGAGATTGAGGACAGGAAGTAACTTTCTTTTTGTAAACGCTTACAAAAGTAAGGTTGCAACTACTACATACTCTAAGGAACGAGTTCAAGAGAAAATCCCTCCTCACTCACTTGGTATGGCAATGAGCTGTATATGAATTATTCATAGTAGACTTCTCATGCATATTAGCATGGTACAACATTTCAAGAACTAAACATTGATGCGCATAAAGTAAAGATTTACACTGGCTAAAATACTGTTTGTTTTTTCTTCAATATAGCTAAAATATCAAGTAAAATAAAGATTTTCAAGTTTAATTAGACCACATAGAGGATAAACATGTTCAGAAGATTAAAAATAGCAATTTAAAGTAATGTACCTCGGCATACATTGCACGTGACCGCATTCCTGAAGATCACACAATAAACATAATTAATAACAAGTACGAAAATATATCCATCCCTGCAGAGAGAAAGACTAAACTAAACATTACCTAAGTAAGACATCAAGTTGACATGAAGCACAAGAACACTGCTCTAACTTATCTCTCTTGCATGTAAGATAGGAAAATATATTCCGTCGGGAAGCCTTCAACTGCCTTTTTTGTAGCTTAGATAGTCCATCTGAGAACTTCTTAATTGATGGCAAAAGCACTTCATGGAACCGTTCTTCGTACTCCTTGATCAGATATAAAGGAATACGCATTTCATTAAACCAATATGTGTTCTTTCCATCCTGACTTTGCTCAACATCAATGATATTTTTCATAACTCTTGCTGGGACATGCTTTTGGTTCCCAAAAGAGACTCCATATATAATCTTGCTATCAACAATCTTCTTGCCGCAAATATTAGCATTCCTGAAAGCAGAGGCTTCCGTCTCTGGACCTTTTCCATCCTGGAGGTTCTGCTCTGGACGGACAAGATCACCCCATCTCACATGATTATCTAGATACCTAACCTGATCCAAATTTCAATGACCTTCAATTTTTCATGTCTTTTTGACAGAAGAAAAAAACCACTGAATAAAGATCGTTGAGACAACACATAACATATGAGAACAAACCTGCATTGCAAGCTGTGATACATTCTTACTCCTCTCAACTGCTGTTTTCCAGATTAACTGTCTGCTTCTTTTAGGAATCTCAGAACCATCAGAATAAGTAAAGCTAGATATCTTTCGAACGCCACCTAGTGACACACAACATAATTAGTTTATTCCTATAAGCATCAAATAAAATGAAAACATGCACTCTACAAACATCATCTTTAACCGAAATAACACCACCACCAAGAACAACTAAGAGACACTGCTGACTAATTGTTACAAGACTTGGGGGCTTAGTGGTTACCCTGGTGAGCTGCTTTCCTAACCATTGAGCGTGGCAAAATTGCTTTCTGGTGTATATGCTTTGATAACTTGCCTCCTCTCCACCAGCTAAAGCTATCATGATTGCAACCATCAACTATTACTTCAGATTGTTTCTTTTGTCGTTTCCCACCTGGTCCACGTTTCTGCGTTGTTCCTGCAGTGCATGATACACTTTGAATGATGGAAGATTCAACAAGCCAATCATCCACTTGCTTAAACCAATCCCCAGAAAGAGCAATGCTGCAGATGTTTTCACCAAGCTGCAAACAAAGAGAATGAGATTGTGTCAAATAAAATGCAGTGAACATATGAAAGATATGTATGGTAACAAAATACAAACTAAAAGAAAGGGCAGTAGCCCTAAGGTCATGTATGCCGAGCTTTTCCATAGTTCATTTGTTCCAAACAAAGAGTAAAATGCAATCCAATAATCTACGAGGTATATGCTAACAGTTAAAGACATTAAGAGTTCATATAGGTGATTTACAGATTCCAAATCTATGCTTGTAAGACAAGTTCTACAGACTAAAAATTATGAAAAATTAAGGACACTTCAATTCAGAACAAAAGCCATAACTTCCACATTAAAACCAAAATCAAGTGGGTAAAACTGTAGCCATAGACATCAAATTTAGAAATTAACAAGATTCTCAATATCTTCCATGAAAAATTAGAAAAGATATCAAATCATTCAGTTAACTAAGAAATGTTATCCTCTTCATAACAAACAAAGTTCTTAAATACTCACAGTAAGGATATTCACTTAAATTCTGTATTTTATGGTGGAAAAAGGAAAAGTAGAACATAATCGATAAGCAAAAACATTAAAAATTATTTTGAGAAAGAAAACAAAGGGGTGGGGCCCAGAGAACTAATCAATAAAGTCAAACGAAAAAAACTTTAGCGATATGCATCATGAGAAATGGAACAAACAATATCATGAATAAGCCAAATAATAATTTTTTTTTTATTAAAAAGGTGGACTATTAAAAACACTATTAGATCACTCAATTTTAAAAAACTATCATCCTCTTCATACAAACAACACTTCCTAAATAGTCGAAGTAAGGACATTCACTTAAATAATGTATTTTATGGTACTTAAAAAAAGGAAAATGGAACATAATTAATAAGCAAAACATTGTAAAGTTTTGAGAAGAAAAAGGGAGGAGAGAACTAGACAAGTAATCACCAAAAAAGTAAACTCACTTCAAGCAAGAGAACTTTCACTGCCCTGCATGTTGTAGCCTCCTCTACTTGTTTACGCCACTGCTTTCTATGACTTCCATTCAAAAAGGGACCGGCTACAAGACCACGTAAACTTTCCTCCAAGTATAAAAGATATACACCAATGCTAGCAAGATAGCTGTCTCCATTACTTAAAGAAAGAAGGCTATTGAAGATCTTTGTAGCACTTTTGGTGGCATTTGTGACAGCTGCATTTAACATGCATCCCCTCCTACTCGATGCTTGAAGCTTGCAAGAATGACACCAACCACACCTCTCCCTCACAATGTCCTTCTTTTCAAAACCTGGCCAAAAAAAGCGTGAGGCTGCCGAGGAAAATGCTTTTGTCTGCAGTGCAATATTACTAGCGGCAAATTTTCTGGCATTGCCAGACTTTTGAGACTCAGAAACATGACTTTCTTCTGATAAAAGAGAAGTGAGATTAACAATGGCAGATGTAGCAAAGTCCCCATTTGCATAGTGATTCACGTATGCCTTAGGCTTAAAGCTGAATCCCATGTATGCACAATCATTGGCTAACTTCCTGCTACTGCTTCCAAGACCTGCACAATCGTCCGCCTTGATTTCAGAGGATATACTCACTGGGAAAAGCATACTGTTTTCTTCTCCACAGCTGTTATTGCTGTCACCTGAAGCATTTTTAGTACAATCAGTAATTGGCCTGTTGACCAAACTTTGGCAGCTGAGGTCAGATGGATCAGCCTGCAGTCCAACTGAACCAGAAGTCATGGTGCATTCCATTTTATTCTGGACAGGTAACACTGAATTTGTTGGAGGGTAATCCTGTGATCTAGCTGTATTACTAGCATAATTGGCTTGAGTCATGGTGTTGATGGAGGTACCAGGACATGACTTTGCAACATTATCTGAGTGACATTCAGTGAAACTAATTGCATTCTCCGCCTCAACTGTGCCCGATGCTTCGAGGCTTTCCTTGGAGAACAGAGGCAATAAAGAAGTAATCTCATTTGTCTGCATGTCTGCCATGTTGGCAACAATTTCAGTTGTTTTATGGATAAATGCAATAATTTCTGGGATATCCCAATACAATAAAATTGCGTTGCATATCCTGGAATATATAGCAGTATGTTCTGGAGATGATAAGAGCACATGCATGACGTTTGGAATGTCGTTCAGATTGTAAAATCTACCATGTCTTTCCGCACTGGGAGAAGCCTTGAGCCTGCAATTGTCAAATTCAGAACGTGAACTGGCAATTATATAAGTCTAGGTCCATATCAAAGACAACAAACAAGACCACGCTAACACACAAAATAGAATTGAGAAAAATTTAGGCTCTATTTGATATATGAAAACACTTTCTAAATTTATATATTTTCATTCACTAACCACGAAAGTTCATTACAACAAAGAAATCATGGTGAAAATGATTATGAAGTTAAATTTTTTAAAAATGTCACTTTTAGTGTTTTCTAGAAATAATTTGTTTGTAGTTTGATAATTCCACATATATACAACTTTACATAATCTATAAAACACGCATAAACACATTCGAACTTCGAAAATAAAAATTAGAAAATGTTTTCATATACCAAATGGAGTCTTAATGTCTAAGGAGAGAAAATCATGACCAAGGAGTAAGTACAAGTATAAGCAGTCATAATCATGTGCAAAGACATTTGAAAAAAATAAATAAGAAATTACTATTTCAGTACTTAAACTAGGCCATTTTATAATTAGGTTACAAAAGCTCTTTTCTTATTGTTCATGTCCTTAAACTTATAACATTATTAAATTCAAGATATCTTTATACAACCATAAAATCTTGATTGAAAATTATGAAGCTTGTTTCTTTGCTCATTTTTTATTTTGTAGAAAGTTCGAAAATTATAACTGAGTACTAAGCTTAATAAACTAAGTAAAACTAACTGATTTGTTTTATCAAAGTTATACAAACAATAATAATAGAAATTAGGAAAAATAAGGCATCTAAGTATATTTACTTTCTAGAATTTTTCTATGTTCACTTTAAATAGAAGCATTATATCTTTTTTGTGTCACTTAAATAAGACAGGAAAAACTTGAGCAATTTCTATTAAAAAAAAGGTTTATTTAAAAAAAATTATATTTAAAAAAGTTGAAGTAGAAGAACATATTCTGAAACAACTTTTTAAGTTCAAAGACAGAACTATAATGAAAACAAATAGGGCCAAATTGTAATATAGCTCGTAGTTTGGGACTAAATTTATAATTTGCCTCTTAAAAACTATATCTAAACTTGGGAAGTTGCAGGACTAAGGCTTCACAAATAAAGCAATGCAAGAAGAATAACCACAATTTACAAATAGGATTCAACAAATATTTAAATAATGTAAAAAAAGCTGAACTTAAAGACAGAGGCATTGAAAACATACACCAGCAAGTGATTGCAAGTACCCAAGAAGATTTGTTCATACAAATCAATGCCAAACACTTCTGCTCCTTTAAGTGATGTTCCCACCGTGATAGTTGGTCCCATTTTATTAATAGTGCATTCTGGACAGTACCATGGCCCTTCTGGTATGTACATTTTGACCACACCTATGCATCTTGAATGGTATGCTAAAGGGCAACCATCACAACAGAGCAACGTCCCATCCATGCCACAAAGCCGACATTCATCACTATTTGCATCTAGATCAACTGCATCTGCATCACCTTCAGTACCTCTGGGACCCAAAATTTTTAACTTGTGGTAAGACTTCATCTCATGGCCTTCTGCAACAATCTCCATAGCCTCTCTATCCTTGCAGGCTGAGGTTTTGGAAAATCTGGGATGGACCCTTCTAGGTCCATTTTCAGAAGGATTGATAGTAACTGCATCAGGATCTATTCCGACCTCTGATTCTTCACGAACATCAATTTCAGTTCTTACCTCCACACAGTCTAAGACATCATCACAGAGGATCTGTAGAGTCATCAACTTCAAACCTACAGGTAAAGAATAATATTCTTTGTCCATAACACATTCATTAAAATTTTTCCATTCTGGTCCCTTTGTATATCCCATTACAGCAAGATAATGGAGCAAATAAACAGGCCAAGTTAGTGTATCGAGCAAGCTCCAATCAACACATCTGCATATGAGAAGCGTAACAGTTAAATCAACAATATTTAAGGGGAAAAAGAAAGTCATCTTAAAAACAATGATAAGCCTACCGAGTAAATGAAACAACTCACAAAACCACTTCTGATCTACTTGCATACAAGAGGAATATGGTTGGGCAAGTGGGAGGGAATGCTCAGAAACAATTTTTGCCGAGTTATTAGACAATTTTAAAATCCAGGCCTCATCTCAAAGAAGACAGCAGATTCTCTTCTGACACTGAAGGAGAAGAAGGAAAAGGAAAATTGACTAAATAGGGTTGGGGACACGTGGCTTTAGAGACTTAGCTTACACTACAGCAGCTACAGCCTATTAAACAAGGAACTGATCATAGAATAGACGATCTTAAATGTAGTTGACTTTATATTAACACCTAAAAGCATATAACCCTGTTAGTGCAAATCTTATGAAATTCTCAATCTTTTAAGGGACATATTATTGTCTAGAGTTGAATCTGATTGGGTAGCTATATGATTGATGTTATATCAAATTAAAGTAATTTGCCTATTTAGATACTTGAGAATAAAAACCTAGACATCAAACCTAGTGTTTTTTAGATGTCACATTTAAGATGTCATAAACATCAAATTTACGGGTTTGATTACATCAAACAACTAAAACATTAAGAAATTTTCGAAGTATTTACTAAATAACAGAAATTTGTCTCAAAAAATAAAATTACAAAGATGTTCATAATGTTTCCTTAATAATTTTTACTAAATAGGATTAAACTAAAAAAACAAATATTAATAGAATAAAGAAATAACACTATTAATACAAATCGAAAAACTAAATATTAACTGCATAATATACTAAAGTTACTAAATAATAAACTCAAAAATTATATAGTATTGATATTTAATAGAATTGTGGTTTATAACTTATTAAGGCAATCGAGGTAATCATTCTGCGTCATTTTTCCCAGATTAGAGAAAACTCGTCCACGAGCTTTGAAGTGACTAATGAAGTAAAAAAATTGATCTTTGAGCTTCCTTACAAAAATTTAACAAACTCTATGCTCAATTGTTTTCTTAATTAGTAAACATAACGGAAACACACAATTGTTTAGAAGTTTGAAATCCTAGTGTGACGAAAAAATCAACATATTGATCACTGTGTTTTAATTTCATCCTTGAGTAGAACATTACTAGACTGAATTATTGACTTATGTTCCCCAATGTACTTAACTTCCATAGAACTCTCCTTAGGCAGTGAAAGATTTTGAGTAACCTCAAAATCTACTCTCTTAGAAAGATATTGCAGTTCTCATCTCTCAACTTCGATGTGCTCCATCTTTTTATCTTTTTCATTTAACTGTAGGCATTTTTGGAGATTTATATTCACTCATCTCTTCAATGGTCGTAGCGTCTAAAACTACATCCCTTTACGTCAACCATGAAATGATAAGTATCAAGTCTCATCATGTTAAACATGTCCATCATAAAGTCAAGGTAAACCTAGAAGAATAAATGTGAAAATTATAAGAACTACATCACATAAGATTTAGTGAATCTAGATATCAAGACGGGTAGAAGCAAGACTTTGTTAAGTTCCAAATATTCATATTATCTATCCAAGCTAGTCTATATGGTTGCAGATGTGTTGAAAGATTGAATCATTCAACTGTAGAGATTGAAACAAGAATCTTGCCGCGGCCTCATGAATGACAACTTTCTTACTTTAATTTCCACAATAAAAATTAGGATTTCTCATGTTTAAAAGTTTTCCATCATGAAGAGAATTGCAAAAATAAAAAGGTGTGCAAACACTCCTAGGGATTATTTTGAACTGTTGAAAACAGGTGTGGTCAAACCCAGCGCTCAATGAAACCAAAAAAGAACAAATCAAGAAAGCCCTATTGGCAGCTAGACGCGTATGGCTCACATGCTACCCTCCCAGACATTGGATGGTGGCCAACCTTCGTAGATTGACTAGAGTTAAGGCTGGGGATATAGATCGAAGGTCAATATGAGACGCAATTATGTAGAAGAACGAGATTATGAGAAGCCACAATTGGGATCTTGCAGCAGCAAGTGGCATATTCTCTAGCAAACTTATGCCGCTTGAGGGGGTTGTCGATCAGGGTCTTTTGAGGCTGGTGGTGACAGTTTTCTCGATCATCTCTTGTTGCTGACTGTGATCTAAGATGGCGCCATGTAGACTAGGCTAGGATTTGTTGGTTTATATTTTTTTTCTATGTTTTTTTTTTTATAATGATGTGGGGTTGTTTGGGTGTATAGAGCTTTGAGATCTAGTTGTAGGATGCTTTTAGGTTTAATACCAAATGATGTAGGACAAATTAGGCTTAATTTGCCTATTTAGTGATTTGAAGATAAAACCTATAAATCACACCTAAAAGTTTCTTAGATATCACATTTAAAAAGTCTTAAGCATCATTCAAGAATTTGGTTATGTCACACAACCAAAAAATTGAAAAGCTCTCAAAATATGATATTGAATTACTGAAGTTTGTCCCAAAAAATAAAATTAGAAAATATATTTATAATATTGCCTAACTAACCTTTAGTAAATAGGAATAATTAAGAAATATTAATACTAATAGAATTAGGAAGTAAGACAACAAATATAAACAGGAAATTAGATAATTATGAGAAAAAAATCCTATATTGCCAAAACTATACTAATAAACTCCTAAATAAAATAGTAGTTGTATATTTAATAAAACCATTATTTTCTAATCTATTTAGATAAGCAACAACTACTTTTTAAAGAAGTATTATTGAACAGGAGAAGTGAACATTACAAAAGATACGACAGATAAGACATCCGACTGAGAAAAGATTAGAAAGAGAACAATTTAATAAAATAATGCATAAAAGTAAAGCATAACAAAACAAAGAACACAAAACAAACAACTAGTCACGTGACCATAGCATCCAAATTTTTGTAGTAAGGATATATCCTAGTAATCCCTAAGAGATTTAGCCCAAAGGGAAGCCAAGAAGGTCATCTTCTCTGATAGGATCGTGTCCGGAAAAGAATGATTATCAAATATTCGATGATTTCTTTCCAATCAAATCATCCATAAAGATCCTTATAGTAAATTATAAAACTGAACCAAATTTTTAGTACACCTTATTAAGATCTAATATGATATATAAAAATCTTGTTTTAGTTTTATTTTCAGGTAATTACCTCACCATTTTCTAAGGAAGAGACAAAAGACAAAGAAAGCAGCACAAATGCGCCACCTATGTACAAAATGATGGATCTGAGTTAGAGAGTTAGCCAATTGTATAGAATATCCTCTACATCTTCTTTTCATGTGTTAGATTCATAGATGAATTGAGGTAAACCTAAAAAAATTGTTCCATCAACCATGGTAAACTGTTAAAAGTGTAAAGTTAATTTGGCACTCGGTTTGGCTTGCCACTTGGTCATGGCATTATAGAAACAAGTATTTACACCCACCACAACCAAGAAGGAGAAGTGGATAGCCGGGTGAAGGAGAAGCTATCTATGTAGAAGGGGTAGTTCGACACCTTTTTAGAATGCCCTCAGAACCTCCCATTTTATTTTTTTTTCCTTCTTTCCCTATTCATGCTAAGGTGTCTAGGAGGCAAGAGTTTGTTCAATGTTGTTCCTTGTCGGGAGATAATTGACCAAGAGGAATTTTGTTTAGTGACAATGAGCAAGGTTAAATAGCCTTTTTATGGGAGAGGATTGAGGATAAGAATACTTATGACCTTGAAAAAAGATATATTGAGCAAAGCAGCCCCCAAGATTTTTTCCTTCTAAGGACTGTGGTGGAAGTTCATTGGTTCCAAATATAGTTTGGTGCATAATAATGATCGGTGGGTACAACATGAGAACTTCTCAGAAGATCACTCATCTTAGTACTACTCACCCTCAAGCGCGCTTAATTGCGGAGTTCTGATTGGATTCAGGGCATTAGAATTGATATGACCACACCCAATTTGGTGCATAACAATGAGCAGAGGTGTTTTCTAATCAAGTCAATAGAGATGAATAGCAAAAAATTTGTCAAAATTTTTCACTCTTGACTCATTTTGTGATGTAAAATTGCATGAAGATAATGTTTTTGTTTGATCAATGGTGCCCGGATGAACCATTAAAAAAATTATGAACCAAAAGCCAAAGTTTATTTATTATCTACCATAACAGAAACCAATGAAGTGTCCATTTACTCCAATATCTTACTGATTGGGAGGTTTATTTCAATAAAAAAAGATCTTATTGATTGGGAGGTTGGTAAAAATGTAACTCCTTCCTCAACACCTTGGAGTTAACATCCATTCAGCGTAAATGAGAAGACAAGCCTATATAAAAGCTTCTAACAATCAACACTTCTCTTTCAAGTCTTCTATTGCCATTTGTAGGTCTCAATGTTTTGCTTAGAGCATGTCAAGAAAATGAAGGCAACCTTGTGAATTGCGTTTTT